CACGAAAGTAAGAGCTCCTTACTAGCTCCTTAAATTTTATTCCTTTTTTTATTTGAATCTACTCAGTTTTTTGTTCTGAATGCTGTTTTGCTATTGCTTATACTAGGTTGTCCTCTTCTAACTAAGAAAAAAAGGTTTGGTCATTCAGGCTTTTGCAGTAAACTGAATTCTACCACTGGCCTTAATTCTTGATCATTCTGGGTTGCTGGCTGACATTTTTGGTAGAATTTTTGGGTCCCATTTCCTTCAGTGAGTTGAAGAATTTCTTGTTTTATGCTAGAAGTAAAGAAAATGTAGGTAAGGTGCTTTACATGCACTGTGCCTAACAGACATACTACCTTTCTTACTGCACTGTTTTTTCAGTTTGGTTGGCTATTTTTAGTTGGTTGAGGTTTGTTTGTTTATTTGTTTATGGTTTGGGCATTTGTTTGTCTGTTTAGTTGGTTTGGTTTGTATTTTGTTGGGGTTTTAAAATTTTGTTTTCTTCCGTTTTCCTATTTATCTGGAATATTGGTACAAATTAAAAGGATGCTTCATTCCCTACAAAAATGGTTTTTTTTAAAAAAGGTCTTACTAAAAACACATAAATTTTAGGAAGAAGAGGTTACTCCTAGTACATGATAAATTAAACTTTATTATTTATTGTAGTGTCACAGGTGTTCAGTAATAATAAATGATATATCAGGTAAGACACTAGTAAGAATTCTGCATATGTGAATAATTCAGTGTTCTGTGTAGACAGTGAGAACAGACCATGAAGCCTCCCGGGCTTCCAATGAGCTTAATGAATATAAACAATGAATTAATTTTAGGTCAGGGATATAACTTTGAAGTACCAAAGCAGTTAGAGTTTAATTAACAAGGATGTTCATGAAAGGTAGTTCACATAAATTGTGTTTGGACATAAAAAGGAACTTTCAGTGCTAGACTGAAATTCTTGACAAACATGGCCACTCTCAGCTATTTTTAAACTTTGTAACTGTTTTCAAAATTAACTGGTTGAGGGTTTCTTGAAGAGTAGAAGTGACATACAAACTTTTGTTCAGCTGAAAAAGATGTATGCAACTGTTTAGCTGGTCTATATAGGCCTTTCTTTATTTAATTCTGTCAATGCAATTTTACTTACAATAAACCATTAAAGCACCATTAGTGCAATAACAAATTATATGGCCTGCATGAAGACTCATTCTTGATTTTTGTTAGTTTGTTAAAATAATTTCTATAAATTAAATTTAAACTAGAGAGTAAACATAGATTATGTGGCTGTATAAGGTTACGTGGCTATATATATATATAAAAACTATAAACCATACTATTGTCCAGAGAAGTTCTCTGACATAGAATTTCCAAAGATTTTTCAAAGCTACTTCACTGTTTGCTCATATGTCCCAGTCATGTCTCCTCTAGGCCTGAGAGTATGGATTCACTATTTATTTGTCAGCAGGAAATAATCTTCAAAAGACTTTAAATTTAGACTAAGAGGTTGCTCTCTTCTCAGGATCTGATTATCAACCTTTCATTTGTGCTTTTACTAAATGGCTGCAAATTACAGAGCTTTACCCAGGGATAATGCAATACTACAGTAAACAGTGACTCTTCTTTCCTTGTCATATCTAGTTCAATTGTGAATGCTTGTTTTGACAATATCATAATGCTTTACTATGTGGCAGAAAATGTGCAGTATTCATCAACAGTATATGGTGGTTAGAGTGCTCTGATCAATTTGGCATATTTGCTTGTATATCTGTGAAAAACAATGAAGGTTTTAACAGTGACCAAAAACAAGAATTTTGTAAGTTTTCAGTGATGAATATATGAAACAACTGGTCTCTGCAGTCTAATTGCCAAACAAGTTTCTTGGAGATCTCAAATGTTCAAAAGTGAGCATTTGGCTAATTGTGTTTAAGTGTGAGCATACATGTGAAGTACAGAGAAGAGAACACCAGATGATTAGACTGACAGCCACTTTTGAACTGCAGATTGAATCTGTTCTTATTTTCATTTATCAGTGTTGTTTTTAGTTACATTAGTGCTCTCTTGGAACCTTTTTCGTATAATTTTCTGAATCCTCCTGATAGCTGTTCTCTTACATTGAAAAAAAGTAAAGATTGCTTTTAAGGTGTCAGATAGTCTTAGCATCTGGCTAATAGCTTATTCTGTGTTTTTCACTCTTTTGCTCTCAATCCTGTTTCACTCCATGTCTTATTATTCCAGTCCAATTCCAGTATTTGTCCCTTCCAATTAGGCATAACTGGCTCAACTACACTGATGAAAGAAACCGCAGTTGTGTCTCAGAAGGTGTTATAGACCATTAAGGACCTGCTGAAGGGCCCCCAGACCCGTGTTGTGCATGATCCATAGAGTTGCAACAGACAATATAATACTCCCTGTCACTGAAGAGTTACCTGGTTGTTTCCACCAGGACCTGAACCTGGACCTGAACCTGAACACACATTAACCCATTGTATCAGGTGTGCTTCCCTCACCCCCAAGGAATCAAGACTGCAACCGGTCATTTTGACCAATGCACATCTAAATTTTGACAATCAAGCCTTGTTTCTGGATTTATGGGTGGTGATACCTTTCTTCTCCACTATCTAATGTTATACTTTCTCTTTTTTCTTTCCCTATTATCATTATTTTCTTAAGTGATCTTTGTATTTTTATATTGTATATAACTTAGATAATATATAATGCTATGTAATGATAAATAATAGACAAAATGGCCACATACCTCCTTTTCATTGCAAATTATTCTAAAAAACCTGCCACATATATATAAATATAAACACTGATCGTTCAGTGTCATTTCGCTCTAGTCCAAGGGATGTATTAACATCAAAGGGATTTATTAAGTCCAAGGGATAAGTTTAAAATATGGGCATGGATTTCTTAATTTTGCTAATCAGTATTTAACAGAATTTTATTCTAATGCTTTCCTTGAGAATTTTGTTATTGTTTTTCATATCTGGATTGATTTCAGAGTTTAATATTTTGAAACAGACCTTTTTGGTTTTACTACAGCTTATTTAATTAGTGTGTTTTATCATCTACCAGATCCTTACTGTGCTCTAATACTACTCTATACTCATGCATTGATAATTCAATACTTAGAAAAAATTTACTGCTTATCCAGTTGTATAAAATTTAGATATTTATGACCCTTATGCCTTATATGAATTTCACTATAAATCTGCTAGATTTTGGAGTAGTTCATTATTTAAGTATTTTGAAGTAGTTTGTATGTAAGTATGCAGTAAACAAATTAGGAGTAAAAAACTGTAAGTAATTTAATAACATAGCTAAAAACTAATCATTAGGGATGATGACCAGAACATGTACAGGACTTGCTACCAAAGATTCAATCTCCTACTAGAGTAGTCTTGCTCTTTTTTCTCTTTTTCACAGTATGTTCTGCACAGTGATATAGTTCCAGAAGGGAAGGGGGAGTGCTTTCATCCAGAAGAGCCTGTAGCCTGGTGCTTGACCCACTCTAGGGAAAAAGGGGAGAATTCCTTTCTCACATTTTGAGAAATATGTCTGTTAGTAAAAAAAAAAAGTCCTTATTTTTGCACCTTGAAAAAGGAACTGCATTTAGAGGTCTGCTCAAGTGCCATGGACACTGAGGAGAATCTCTGTTATATGTATCAACTCACAGGAGACATCTCCATTCATTTAAATAATCTCTGTGCATTTTAAAAGTCATCAGGAAACTCTGTTCAACTTTGCCTTCAAAGTTTCCTATTGGCCAGGTTTATTATCTATTGAACACCTACACTATGCAACAGGCCTTCAAAAAATGAGTATCTTCACATTTATATTTGAACTTCCTATTTCCCAATCTAAATTATTTAAATCAAAACACCATGAATGCCTATGCTACATGTCAAAATACTTCATAGGCATTTTTTTAAAGGTGTATGTTAAAGGTTATTGTTGATAATAATAAACAATACTTATTATTAGCTTGATAATAATATTGAAGATAAATTTACTATTTTGTTTTTGATAATACTAATAGTGATGGCCTTTTCAAAGTCACAAATAATTCTGGAGAAAGGAAAAGGTGAGGGGAATTGACACTAAAGTTCTTGCCTTTAGCCAATTGATGAAATAAGAAAAAAATAATTAACATTAATTTCAATTTTTAAGCAAGAATTGAAAAAAAATATATGCTAAAATATTTAAGGAAAAATTTGTTTGGTAGAGAATTTAACACATAAAAGACAATTTGGAGAGTTTTACTGCTGCTATACAACAACATGTATCTTACTGTGAAACAGATTGCATGAACGAAGTGGATGTGAAAAAAATGCTATTTGTACCACTGTCATTGTTAACTATACATGTATTATAAATTAAATGCCAGGTTAATATTAATCAAATCATAATTTTTGTGTTTTAGAAATAATATCACTTTCTAAAGCTAAACTTTCTAAACACTTGCATCATTGCCTAGTCGGTCAATAATTGCATTTGGGATAAAGGCCTAAAATTATGTCCTGATATTTACATGTGCAGCTACCTTTGTTGCAAATAGCATTTACACTATTAATAATGAGGGTGAAAAAAGCTACACCATAAGCAATGCATCAGAAGCAGAACTCAGATTATAGACATCATGACCACTGATATATGCTATAATATTTTTTAACTTCCTACAGAAATAGTGTATTTCTGTGTCTCTCACTGTCTCTCATAGCTGCTACCTTGCAGCTAGAACATGATACAAGGCATGGGTTTCCAAAGGTTGCTTTAAAAATTAACCAGCAAGTTGCAATAATTTCTAGTGAAAAGACAAAATCTAACATTAACTCTAAATGAATGCATAAAATTGACAAATTAGATTTGGCCATTGTGAACTGAGACGCTTCAATTAAATACTTCCTCCTTAATTTGCATAAATTTTTATGCTGCAACATGTTTTGGCATATTTTTCCCTCTTCTTTTCCTCTTGATACATTTCTTATTGCCAATGTAAAATTTATTTCCTTTTTCAGGTGGCATAAGGAAGAGGGGAACTTGAATGTGGAGAAGGGTAATGTGTGCTTCCTCTATGCAGAAACTGTTACATTAAATAACAAATTGAATGTTCTCTGCTACTGTTCTAAAGTAGGATTTACATATAACACTTTTGCATAGTACTTTTAATATTAAGAAGAAAATAGTGATTGCAGGAGCAGTTTTAAAAATGAACACTTCAAAAGAAGTGTACTGAAAAGATTTAGTGATTAGGCTGACATTCACCATCACTTCCATTGTAAAGGAATAAGGAAATTGTTTGTGTTACAAGTTCTTTGCATCCCTTCCAAGAAAGAAATAATTCAACTATAAAATGAGTAAATGCTCCACTGGGGAAATCCCAAAGCTTCCCAGATATGTTAGGAACAGTGATGGGCGGATTTAGGGAAGCAGTCAGTCAGCTAAGTAACTAAAGAGCCATAAGCCCATGACAAAACATTGATTGACAGTTCAGAAGCAAGGAAAAAAATTATTTCTCTTTCATATGAATAATAAAAGTTTAGGATTCCTAAGTCAAGCTGATAATAGACTGGAGGGGAGGGGGAGCTAATATAAATAAAATGCTGTGATATCTTTGCCAAAGTAGAGTAAATCCTGGGAAGAGACCAACTAATTAATGTCACTCTGAATAATGATTTGTGGTGGTATCTGTACCAGAAGATCCCTCAGACACTGCAAGCTGTTGCCTTAGAAATTGAGCCTCTCTAATTAGGTAGATGGCATACAGGGTGGATCCTTCAAGATGGTATACCGTCTGGTCTGACTAACATACAAAACAAGCATCAGCAGTGATGAGGCTAGCAAAGATAAAAGGAAATGAAAGCCCCAGAAACAACAGTGCAGGGACTTGGTGTAGCAGGTCACTGCAGATAAACTCCTGAAGATAAATTAGAGCCATTCAAATGGTCTACTTAAAACGTATGGAAAATGGCAATTTAAACTGCACCACATTGGAAGAATGGTCAGTACATATTTTTGAAGACTAAAGAAATGCCGGATAAAACAGTTTACTGATAGAAGATTAAGTGCCAGAATTCTGATACAATGAAGAAAACCACCAGTTTTTGAGTAATTATGTAATATATAATTTTTAAAAAGCAAGGGTCAGTACTTCATGTTTGGTAAACAATGTTGGCATAAATTAATTACTGAAATACAGTGTAGGTGAACATTTCCTACAATGCAACAAATATTATAGGTGCAGAGAAAATACAGGTAACAGAAATTGCTCACAAAGGCATAAAGGGCATCCTGAAGCCACTCAAAAAATTCATTTAAATACTGAAGTGTACAGAATGTTCAGAAGTGTTGACATAAGTAATATTATAGAGTATATTAACAACTAATCTGAAGAACAGCCTAGCAGTCTTGGCTGTAGTATTTTATTACACTTGTGTATCAGTCCCATACCCTCCCGTGTAGAGTGAATTGTTAGACTCCTTTCCTTTTGTAGCTGACAGGGCAGATGTGGAGGTTTGTACTGGAAACAAAATGAAACACAACCTCTAAAATAGTGTTTAGTGGTCGTGTCTTTGACCTCAACAACAAAGCTCAATATACTTTGCCTAATTACTAAGCCAAGCTATTCAGAAATTATAATGAACTACATTTAGGGACATTGTAATGTACCCTACTTCATCCATCAGCACCAGTGGCTAGACAACCTTCTCCATTAGAGGAAGAGGCTACATCTGTGTACAATTATGTCTCTCTATTTTGTTTCTCATTGAATATGTGATGCATTGCTTTGTAGTTCAGAAATCTTTGAATGTGTTTTGCTGAAGTAACAATCTCTATTCATTGTGATTATTCTTATTTGCCTTTACCCAGCTCATATTGAACACTTACAATAGTTGTTCTGCTTCCTAGTTCAAAGTAATTCTTGAAATCCATCTCTAAAAATTTTTCACCACATTGTCCAATTAGTTATCATTCTTCTGCTTCTGCCTGTAAGCTTCATTTGGGTTTTCTTTTGTTTCTTTCTCCTTTAGCAATTATCCTTTGGCACAGATGTGAACATATCCTTGCCATGCCCCATCTAAGGGCTCACTGTAGTGCTGATATAGTCTAAGTGGCTACACTCTATCCTCATTTCTAGCCTTACATTCAAACCTTCCTTTGTACTTCGTCTAAGATCTGAGTTGTACAAATAAGAAGACATGCATACTATTTCCATTTGCTTATAATTAATGGTACACATAGAAGTACCTTCTTTGCATTTCAGCACATGCGACGACTTCATTCATGCCTACAAACAACTGGGCATTGTGATTCTTAATCATATTGATAACTGCTGACTGCAGTCGTGGGGAAAAACTTTCCCTGTGGTATGTTTTATATTGGTTTTCCTAAAACATTTTCTTTTTTCCTGGGAAGGAAAAATTGCAGAAGTGTGCTACCAAAATGCCAATCTGCATTCAAGCAAAGAAGGGATTAGGTGCTTAAATCATGTCCCCAAATCATGGGTGAAATATATTTTTTTCCATGGAGAAAATATCAAATTAGTCACAGTATAATTCCAAGGTAATTTGAGATGTTAGTTTCAAAGTTTCATTTTTGAAACACATGATACATTATGCTTTTGACATTTGTTTTATTGAAATGTAAGCAGTCTTAAAAGACTAGTTCTTTGATCCATCTACGAACTGAAACATTAGTTTTCATGGTAATTGAGGATAAATATTCTTTTTGATTGACATTTGAAATGATAGAAAAATATATCAATAGTCCTTTAAAAAGAAGCAGTAGAGTTCAAAATTTTAATTTATTTATAGGATAGGGTTACTGGAGAATCAACTATACTAGTGAATTTTTGGTGAAACACAACCGTATGCATTTATATCCATGCGTATAAAGCATCCATTAGACAAGAATTTCTGGTATGCTGTACATATTCTTTGCAAAATTATTGCTAAAAGATTGCATATTATTATCATACTACTGGGAATGCTGATTTGCAACACTTCTGCTGCTTCTTTAATCTCTTGCATATAAAGTAAGTGAATTGTGACTGTGTAGCTGCAAAGTTGTATGACATCTTCAAACTGGGAAAAAATATCTCATCTTGATTTCCTCAGTGACAATAAATTTTCCAGGCTTTCATGAACATACTGCCTCTAAAGCAAGTTACTTGGCTCTTTGTGTGGATATTGAATTTGCCCTTTTTATTTGAGGTTTAAGTTATTTCTAATGATTATATCTCACTTTCTTTCTTACTGTCTTTTTTTTCCTTAAATTTGTAGTCTTCTATTTGAGACTTGGGGTTTTTTTCAGAGGTAATATATTAAATATTTTCACCCACTTATCACATGGAAGTAAATTATTTTATTTTATTATCTCTTTTAATAAAAAAAAAAATTATATCTTGAAATAAAAAGAGTTTGGTTGACTGAAAACAAGAATTAAATGTTAATTTAAAAATTCAGAATAAGGAATTGACATAGCAGGAAAGTTATTTCGTTAAAACCACTCAATTTTTGATGCATCTATACTAAATCTGTAAAAACTTTCAACTTTAGAAGTTTCAACTTTACAGTGTTCTGATGCAGTTTTATTACTTCTCTGTCAACTGTCCTGTCAATGTTATGACTTTTTTTTCCCTTCTCTGTTCTGCATAGTTGCTTACACAGCACTGTTAATGAACCCACCTCCCACTTCAGTCACAAAATGCAAGTATTGTTCCAATTTAGTATTTCTAAAGGCACATCATGATGGAGACATTTAGAAAACTACTGAAAATTATTTCCTGTGTAGTCTCCAGTTCATATTTCCTTTTTTTTAATTTTATCTCCTCCATAGTTATGATCTAATGAGTTTACTTACTATTGGTAACTTACTTTCACAATTAACTCAAATGTGATTTCCATATTATTTGTTTTGTTAAAAACCAACTTTTCCGTATAAGTTTAGCTCTGCTCCCTGATATGGCATGCTTCCAAATTAAATCTGAAACTGGAAAAGTCAATGATTAAACGGTGTTGTAACAGAGGTTAAAAGCTCTGCCAGGAATGATGGATGCACTTTGCTTTTGCAGTGAACATTCCTGGTGATGTCAGCTGCTCCATGCTATACTCACCTATACAGAAAAACTACTGTGTCTGTGACTGGGGCACTAAGAGGCTAAGGTTGTTTTTATAGTTTAAGGATGTGACAGGATCTCATGTGGTATGTACTTGGAGTTTGTTGACAGATCTTGCTTGAAAACTGATGATCTATCTGGTGGCTTCAACACTAAACACTTCTTCCCTCTTCGTGTGGTGGCACTGCTGGTTCAGAAGCCTCACAGTTCTTGTTCCATGCCTGACAACAGTGTAGATATATGTAAAGTTGATTCAAATTATCTGATATGGATTTGGGCTCAGGATAGAAGCCTTCAGAGATGGCAGGCCCTGCTTTATTTTTTACAGGATAGCAATTCAGGTTGTCTCAACTGACTTTGAAGTAACCTGAGTCTCATTTTCTCAGGAAGCAGTCAAGCATTTTTAATCTAACAATTACTCCTAAATCTAGATTTTCTTCTCTGTTATTTACAATTTTTTGTTATGTACATTTTCTTAGATGCACTCTCAAATGACAATTTCATTTTCCAAAGGTTTTGGCTGAATGCAGGTTTAATTTTTTGAGGTTGTTTTTTCTCTATTGGAATAAAGTATTAGCATAAAAGAACAGAGTTCTCTGTCAGAATAGTGTATTAGTTTGGGGTCAGTCATCTTCACACCTGAAAGTAGTATTTGTTTTCTCTCTTTTATCATTATTATTAAAATGCAGACACAAGAATAAAAAATAAAATTAACAATTTTTTAAGCTTAAAATTCACTGAATTGGTTTTGAAGATATATTTAACATAATTTAAGCATAATTTAACATAATTTAATTATATAATAATATAATAAATTTATAAATTAAATTAAATTATATTATTTAATAAAATAACTAAATTACCTAAATCAATTATATAATAATATAAATAATAGTTATTAATTACAATAAGCATATATAACCCTAGGTTTTTACCATACAAAGTTCGGTATGGGAGGTATGACACATAACCTCCTTCCATGTTGCTTTGCATTTTGAGATGATACATGTTTTTACATGAGCTTTAATATGGATTTGGTCATTACAAATCTATAAAGATGGATTTAATTTACATTAAAAAAATTTTGGTTACTATTATTTTTAAAATCCTTATTCAGACTCGGGTGAAAGTGAACTCAAAACTGGGAAGCAGTGTACAGATTGGAAAATGGAACTGCCTCTGAAAGATTTCAAATGCTTTTTAGGAGTTTACTTTTTAATCATTACAAACAAGAAATTTAATCTCCAGCTGAGCATAAATAACAGCAAAGGCTCCATGACTCAGCATAAAGCTGTAGGCTTAAAAGATTCATAAAATAAGAAGTTCCCTATTAAAAAACCTTGTATATAAAGAGAGAAACAAAACATTTGCATTCCAGCTCCAGTCATTACATACTGTTTTACAGTCTGAAGGAGAAGAAAAATATGCAAGGCCATCTAAAATATCAAATTATACTAATTTTCTGAATAGAATAGTCTGTTTCTTTTGATAAGATAGTATTTTTACCTAGTTGAAATTATTTTAGTTGAGTTTCACAGTTTGATACAGGATGGTGTTCATTTGTGATAGCCAGCATGTATGTGTTGCACTGCTGTTGGCAATATAGAAAAATAATGGGTATCCTTGTTTCCCGTTTGCAGGCAGTTCTGGCAATAAGATGAAATGGGCAGAAAAAACTTTCTTTGTGAGTATAAAAATAAAGTATCTACTAAATTAATAACAAACATACCCTGAAACAGTGTGGCATTTCTATCAGTATTTCTAACACAGGAGTATACAAAATGGTTATATAAAAATATATGTAAGAATATGTATATATTCCTATTATACACATAAAAGATATACTTCTAATTTTTTAATGTATACATTTTTGCCTCTGTGTGTGGGGATATATATGTATATATGGACATGGAAAAAAAATATTGGTTTCACAACCCAATTTGGTTCATAATATAGTCTCCTTTTAGAAAATTTAACGTGGCAGGAAAAGAATGTACTTATAGATAGAATAATATTGTCAGTAATATATATAAAATTCCCAAACTGAAAATTAACTCTGTTGGTGTGAAAATTAAAGAGATCAGTTTCCATCTGCAAAACAAGCCAACAAATGAAAAGGAACTCACTCATTGTCTTGAGCCAAAACTCCAACAATTTTTTAATTTTATTATTTTAAAAAATATTAAACTAAAATTGTTGGAATTTTATATTTTAAATAGATATGATTTGATAGGATATGATATGATATTAAATTAATTTATTTGAAAATTAAAATATTTGGTCCTCTGAAGAGCAGCATAAGTACTAATACAGCTAAAATCTCATCACCATATCTTTTTAAGTTAAAAATTCCACCAGGATTTATGTCTGAGATAAGTACCCTACTGATGGGTTATGTGAAGTTAGGATTAGAGTCAGCAGGGTCCAGTATTTTTCGCTTCCAGCAAAGCCCAAGAAAGTACATTCTGTACTATGGATTCAGGAAGAACTGCAGATTGACATAGGTTCAAAGAGAAGGAACAATATAATCTTACATATACCTCTTAGATGAGGGTGAAGTAATACTTCCTATTTACTTGTCTATTTAGCAAATCCAAATGTTGCTGTGGAAAACCATTAAGATGGAATGTTTTTTCACACAAACCTAAAGAATTATATTGTTCAGGATATATCTATTCTTACAATTTAGACTAAAGCATTAAGTTATATTTCAAAAAGACATTTCCTGGATTTCAGGCTACTGTCTCAAGTTTAAAATTTGGTCCTATGAAGCATCTGCTACCTTGATGATACTCCTAGAAATTAATATCACATAACATGTAAATTTAGTATTATTGTATTCTTTTTGAACTATATTGCTGAGCTCAGAAGAGGTCTTATTTCTTTTACAGACCAAAAATCAGTTATTTGTGTAGCTACCAGAAATTAAGAAGTCAAGTGTGAATTATGGTTGGCAAACATAGCAGTTTGATTTGGCACCAAAGCTTAATAAAAGTCTTTAATACAAAGAAAACTTACTACATTCATCCATGAAGGTAATTATATTTGCCTGGACTTGTAATTCATAAAGGTGAAGCATAATATAAAAGGCTGTGTCTGTCTTCACTCATTCCACCTGAAGTTTCTTCCCATGGTGTATTAAAATATCACTAAAACAAATTTGTAAAATAATTTCTCTCATCTCAAATACAATCAAATGGTGTTCCTCATACAAAGACAGGCATGCTTAGAGAATTATAAATATGATGGTAAGCAAGGGAGCACTCAATAATTCACACTAATCTGGAAGAAGGTTTTACTAGCATGAACCATTCCAATATTAACTAAATACTGAGGTTCTGATGTCCTGGGGAGAGTGAATAAAACATTTCACAACAGACATTGTGTTAAGGGCTGTCCTGTCTATGGTTTGCAATCAAATGATACAGAGAGAGAACGTACACTCATGGCTTGGGGCGCTGCAAGGACACTCAGCCCCTTGCAGCAGCCAGCACCAAGCACATGCACTACGTGCTGTGGTCCTGCTCCAGGTGCTGATGCCAGGCTACTCATTCACATAGTCTGACAAGAAGCTGTTAGCCCTTGCAGCATTAGCAGACACAGGATAAGTGAGATTATTCAAAGATGTAACTAAATATTTTAAGAAGACCATCTGCAGGTCTTAGTCAGAAAAGCTAATTGACTGTCCCATTTTTAGATTTGACTAGACCATTTTATAATGTTTTTGCCTACGTTCCCTTTATTCCTTTCCAGTCCCCTTCTTCTGCACAGTTCTCCATCAATTTGCACAGTCCCGCTAGCCCTTCCACCCTCCTGGATCCTCAGGTTTTTACCCCTGCTGCAAATCTCTTGCTGCAGTTCCTTGGTAGCCCATCAGTCAGTGTGTTGGCCAGATTTACTTCTCGACTCTGTTTCCATTATGTTTGCTTGTTACTTTTGTTACTCTGTATATATTGTTAATTCCTTGTCCCTTTTCCTCGCCACCCGCTTTCACAAGGTAGGTGATCGCATAATCCAACTGAAATGAACATTCTGATGTTCCAGTGGTCCCTTATGAATTTCATTACTACTTTCCTTATGGTATGGGTCAGATTTGTGCCTATGTCTTACTGCTTATGTCTTCCTGCTTTAATTACTATCCCATTGTGCTTTAAAAGAGAGCCTTAAGGAAACTGTCTCTCCCTCAACTCCACATTCACTTCCAATAGAATGCATTTTAAACTCTAGTTAGCAATAGATTGTTTGATAAAAGAAAGCTTTTATTATAAATTTCTGCCTTAAATATTGTTGGATAATACTTTAGGTGATTCTGCAATGCACACATAGAGTTAGGGAGCTTGAGTTTTAATCTAATAAACACTTCAGTTTTAGAACTTCTATCATTTGAATAGGAAGTGAGAAAGAGCACAAATCCAATTTCCTCTTCTTTCACATGATAACAAACTTAATTTTTTTTAAGTAACATTAACCCTCCTTTGCTCTGTCCTTTTCCTCCAAATGTGGGATGATGACAAAATAATTGAAAAGTTTCTATGCAAAAGTGGGGCAGAGAATTGATAGAGGAAAGAACTTCAGCTGAGCTACAGGAAGACTTAAAAATGCACTTGGCACTTACTACTTTGACAGATCTCTAAAAATTTTTACATATTAGGTCTAATGC